CAGACCCGAAACAAAAACCAAAAAAAAAAAAAAAAAGGGAAGATGGCCTCTGATAACCCTACAAGATTTATTTTTCAAAGACAAATATGTTCAAGGAGTGCGATAAATTAAAGGAAGTTCTGTCACCTCTGAGACTGATCTCAAAGACAGGCATTGTCGCCCACAGTGTCTCCCTTGGGGCCGCAGCAGAGCAAGGTCACCAGCCTGGCTAGATTGGACAAGGCCAGGGAACCATCTTAGATGTCTTTTTTGTTCTAAAAATGAGGTAGAGCCGTGCCACCCAGTACGGAATGATGCTAAGTGTGGCCTGCCCAACCAATTATGTGAAAGGAAGGGCACACAAAGGGCTCAGGAAATAGCAGGACCGAAGCACAGCAGGGTGGCAAGAGCACCTCTCTGAGGTGCACCACCAGCATGCATGAACTTCAAGGATGAGGGCTGGGGAGGGGCCGACCTGTGCCCCCCACAAAACCAGAGGGCTCTGAGTCACACATGGAAGAACAAGCTCCCTTTAATCGTGGCTTCAGCGAGCATGCATACACGGGGGGAAATAATTGGAGACTGAGTGGGGCTCCTCATCTAGTAGAGGTTGTCCCGCACATGCTCCATGATGGTCTTCAGGCCCAACCAGGTCTCCTCTGCAGTGGGGATGATCTGGTTGGCTGGCAGGAGGAAGCCATAGTGCCCCGTATCTCTCAACTCAAACGTGAATGCATACTTGATGCCATTATCATACGCCCAGTCAACGCTGCTCCCGCTAGCTGGATCTGTAAGTCAGAAAAGAAAGCACCTTGAAACCCCAGTCCCTTTCAGGGTTAGATGAGTGGGCCTCAGGAGTTCTGCCTGCCTGTGGTTCCTGAGGGATGTAGAATTCTTTCTGAAGGTCATCAGGCCACCAACACACAAACACTGGCCTGATCCATATGTCTCAGGCTGTCCTCTACGACAAATGTCTTCATTCATCACAAACCAAGAGATTTTAAATCTTCGTGCCCACCTTGTCACTAACTCACTGTGCAGACTCCTTCTGGTCACTCAAAATCAATCTTCACAGAGTGTGACAGGTAGCCTCCAAGACAGCCCCAATGATCCTTGTCTCCTGGTCTTCACATCCTTGGGTAGTCCCCTCTGACACTGAGTGGGGCTGCCCTGACCTGGGTAACTAACAGGAGATTGCAGAAATGATGGTGTGTGACCTTCAAGGCTAGATCATAAATACTAGGCTTCCACCTTGCTCTCTCTTGGATCATTTGATCTGGGGAAAGCCATGTGTCAGAGTGTGTGGACGGTGAGAGAGTATCCTATAGACAGGTCTTGGTGGTAAAGATTGGAGGCCTCCTGCCGGTACTCAACACCTGAGTGAGCCACCTGAGGAGCAGACCCCTCCAGCCCAGTCAAGCCTTTAAAGGACTCTAGCCCTGGAAGACACCCTGACTGCAATCTTGGGAGAGGCCCTGAGCCAGAGCCACCCAGCTAAGCCATTTTTGAATTCCTACCCCAGGGAAACAGTGGAAGAAAATAAATGTTTATTATTTTAAGCTGCTAAGTTTTAGGATAACTTTTTACATAGCAAGAGATAACTGATACACAGAGAGAACGAAGCACAGCCCTTGGGACTTCCCTTTGCCAAAAGGCTGGGGAAAGGAAAGAGGCCCGTTTTCCTGCTTCTTCCCAGCCAAACTCTACTAGAGCAGAAACTGGCTAAAAGTGCAAAGTGTGGATGACACTGAATAATAAAATAGTGATGTCAATAGCAGCTATCATTTATTGAACATCTCCCATGAGCCGGTCATCTATATTGGAAAGTTTACATTTATGACCTCATTAATCTTCAAAAATCCAGTGAGGTGGGTATCACTGTCCTTGTTTTTCAGAGGAGGAAATCCAGGCTCAGAATGAGGAATTTATCTAAGGAAATATTGACGGAAAATGGCAGGACTGAAATTGAAACCCAAGGCTATCTGCTGAAAAAAAGCCCATGCTTTCCTCAACCTCCTTCCAGCCCATTTAGTATAGTACATGTCTGTTAAATGAAAACACGGGTCCTTTTGTTTTTCCATCATTCTCGAGGGTTGTTTCTCATGATACCACTTGTGATTTTTCTAGAGATGCTGCTTCTACTGTGATGACACGCCCCCTGAGGTTATGAAACAGGCTCTCCTATAGTCTCTGAAATCCTTCCTCCTCTACCCTGAGAAAATGCTGAATAAAAAACAGATGATGGTACCAGAAGTTTCTAGAGGTTGTTTATATGGTAAGCTCAAGTATTTCAGAACACATATTAAATTCAGGAAGGAGGCAAGAAGTCCTCTGCAGAGCAAAGTGATCAAGTGCATGCACTTCACTTTATTTGGGTCCCTGCTCAAAGTCTATCTACTCTTTTCTTTTAAGATTTTATTTATTTATTTGAGAGAAAGAGATCACGAGTGGGAGTGAGGGGCAGAGGGAGAGGGAGAAGCAGACTCCCCCCTGAGCATGGAGCCCAATGTGGGGCTCAATCCCAGGACCCCGAGATGCGGGGCTAGATCATGACCTGAGCCAAAGGCAGACACTTAGCCAACTGAGCCACCCAGGTGCCCCAGTCTATCTAGTCTTTTAACATTAATGGGAACATAAGATTAAAAACACACTGTATTTCGGGCTCCTCGCTCAGCAGAGAGTCTGCTTCTCCCTCTGCTTCTGCCCCTCCCCGCCTTGTGCTCACTCTCTCTCATGCGCGCTCTCTCTCTCAAATAAATAAATAAAATCCTTTAAAAAATAATAAGATAAATTAAAAATTTTAAAATGTAAATAAATATTTAAATAAATATTTAAATAAATAAAATAAAAACCACACTATATTTTTCAATTAACATTTAAAGATTATTCCCTATTAGCACATACAGACATACCTCATTCATTTAAGGGGGGCACACTGTTTCATTGTGTGCCTGCACCAAATGTGTTTTATGTGTACTGCACTGATGGACATTTAGGTGCTCACCAGGCTTCTATGACTATAAACAATGCTGTCATGAACATCCTTCTTACTCACAATCTATCCACGAGTCAAATGAGCCCAAAGAACTTGTGTCCCAGCCTTTAGTAGTGAAGAGAAGGGGAGAAGGTTCCTAGAGGCAGGTGGCCTAAAAGCAGTACAGTCTGACCAGGCGAAGGAAACATGAAAACTCTAAAAAAGCAGACACAAGAATTAAAGAAGCAAAATGGGCTTGGGGCTGTCCGGCACAGGGATTGAAAATACAATATGGCACAGAAGGCCTTCAGGACATTACAACTGATGTTCAGAAGGCCATTCCGTCATGAAGAAAGGAGCTTAAATCCCTTGTACATGCTCTGTTTAAAAAGGCAAGAAAGTGTGAAATTTATTTGAGAATTATTTTCAGCTAAAATGGTTAATCTAAGAAAAGGTCTGACACTTGAAGGGACGAACGTTGACTATTCATGTAGCACATGCAATAACCCATGGGATCGGAGTGTTATTATACAAAAATTGACTACATTTTTGGAAAGCAAGGAGGGTAGGCAAAGCCTTTAAACAATACAGAAGATGTGCTCTTGAAAGACTTAGGAAATAACTATGTCTTTTGGACAGCACTCAGGAGAGCCTTCCTCCTCTTGTTCTGGAGGAATCCGATGAGTATCTCTTGATTTTGGCATAGCATATGCTGGGAAGAATGTGTTTGATGTGGGATTACAAGGCCATCCTTTAAACTGGTGTTTGACCCAAAAGCCAGGACTGTGGTGACCCACAAAGCTCTTTTGAGAGGGCCTCGTCAAAGGACTCCTACCAAGTCTCTTCACCTCTCTGCAGTCCTAAACTCAGTTCTCACTAATTAAGCAGAGGATGGAGAAACTCTCCTGATGTGTTTCTTCTCTGAGGAGTTTCCATTTAACAACACTAATAATAATCAACCATGAATAATTAATGGATGGTTGCTGCAATTAAGCCACACAAACACCAACATCAGGCTAATTGCTTTATGCAGCAAGGTGGCATATGAAACACAGACAAGAGTGCTGAGGTCGGAGTACAGAGGAGAACCCAGGAGGGGGGATGGAGAAACTTCCCAGAAGAGGAAGACTGAAGGGAACAGCTAGCTGAGGGTGGAGCAATTGGATGGGAGAGTTACAGTATGGAAGAGGACAGAAATATCAGCGAGTTTGCAGGGGGTCTGAGGGTGGACCAACTGTTAGAGACACTAGAGGGGAAAAGAAGGGCACTAGCTTTAAAGGTGTCAGAACCTTGCTCCTCATGTTCGTATTTTTATTTCCCATTGATAGCTAGACTCTCAGAGAATGATAATATTCTTCAATTTGATCTTTAAGTTTAAAGCTCAGGCTCAAGGAATGAGGGAACTGGAAGGATCTCAGTAGGAACAGAGTGAAATGCTCAGATGAAACACATCAGTGAGAAACCAAAACAAAGGTATTTCCTCAAAATGAGGCTGAAGCTGTAGGTAATGAGCCTGAAGACCATCTCAGGTTTGGAGTCTTGGTAGTTTGTTTGGTGGTTGGTTTGTTTGTTTTTGGCTTGATGCTAACCATTGCAAAGAAGACCCCAGCTCCCGGCATGCTGTGCTCCACCACGTGGTCATTTCTGATGGGAAAGTGAGGGAATCTCTTCCAGCCCCACTCCCGCCACCTCGGTCTGCCTCTCCAAAAGTGGGTTTCCGTTGAAAATGGAATGATGGGCCTGAGGAATTTTTGATAAACTATGACAGGATCTTTCATGGACTAGAAGGGACACAGACTCTAGCACACTAGAAGGACTAAGCTCACCACGGGCACATGACAGATAGCATGACCGTGGTGGTGGTACTGATGAAGATGACCCCCTACAGCAGCCATCATCCCATAAGCTTTACGCAAATTCAGTCTATCACCAACAACAAAAATAATCAGGCTACAACATAGTAAGTCTAACTTGCGGCTCTTCTCCCAATTTATTGCAGGTTTCCCCTCCAAGCATTTTCTGAATAACTAAGACAGAGAGTACTTACAGACAGTGGTGCAGATAGGACCCACTTGGTATGTAGTGCCCGACAGGGAAGCCAGAGCTTTGGCCGCACACCTCGCCACCTTGTCCTAGGAGGGGAACCAGTGGAGTGAGAAAAAATGGATCCCACAGCCTGACATCCCTCAGCTGTTTTGCGCTGCGATGGTGTAGAAGATTCTCGGCCCTTCCCTCAAGTTTCCCTTCCAGTCTCCTTCTTTTCCATCCAGCCAGAGCCGAAGCCTGAGACATGAGATGTGGAGGGCTGCTCACCAACCCAATCTAGTAAATACACCACCATCTTCACCTATCCTGAGGGACGGGAATGTCATGTTCATGAACATGTGGGAAGGCCAAGTATGTTCCAGAGAAAACCTTCTAAGAGTTGGGTATTCCCAGAGTGGAGGTGGAGACAGGGCCACCATATATGGATGTGCCTATGCCTGTTTGAGACCAGAATCTAGCCCAAACCTAGCATGAGCCCTGCATCTGCTGGGAGGTTTAGAGGCTAGCTGTGGCCCTGGGCAGGGGGGTGCTCTCGAGCTGACCAGCACAGAGGGAGAAGCCTGCAGTCACCCTACAGATGCCAGCCCTGCTCATCAGTCCACCCTAAGTGCCTGTTCACATCCTAGGGTGAGTCATTATATGCAACGCAGAGCACCCCTAGGCTGTAGCCTGCACCCTACTTAAACTCTACCTTGACCGGAATGAGGAGCACCTCCCCCTTAACCACCACAGGGCCACCCACAGTTCTTGGCAAGCAGTGGGTCCGTCACACATTTTGGTCAGAAAAACAATTGACAAGGAAAGGCAGGGGTCAGGTGTGGTTCTTGAAACTCACAGCAAACACAGAAACAAGAAGAACGGTCTTCTTCCTGTCCCCAGTAGGTCTGTGGCACATTCCAAAGGGCAGGGAGAGAGACCAGGCCCTTAATGAAATAAGTCCAGGCTCCCGGACTTTCCCTATAAGCTGTAGAAGGACTACTGTGGCAGCACCCCGGGGTCAAGCAGGCCCAGGTCTAGGTGGAAGGTGTCCCACCACTCACCAGTTCATCAGCATCTGGGGCCTTCTTGACCATGTACCCATATGGATACATCAGCAGCTGTGAGTAGCTGTGCAAGTCGATGAAGCATTTGAAATTCCCATGTTCTTGGATGAAATCTACCACTGACTTCACCTCCACTTCCGAGTTGGCATGGTGTCCATGGTATACTTCAGAGCAAGGGTTGTCACTGGCTCCCTCTCCTATGGGGGGAGTGGCCCAAGCAGAAACATGAACCCATAGGCAAGAACACAGAAATGCAGGACACTCAAACCGGAGGAAGGGCAGAAGGGGCTGGCCGTGAACAGGTCAATGTGAGGAGCCTAGCCCACAATATGTGTTGCGTGGCGGGGGGGCGCAGATGTGGGAGGGTACTGGATCTGCCACAGCTGAGGAGGAAAAACTGGAAGGACTCCTTTAAATGGATAGAGTTGACCTTGTATTGCATCACTAACAGTTGTCATAAATAATTCATATCATACTTGACAGTGAGTTGTAATTAATAATATTCTAGATAATTAATATGAATACCAATTAATAATGAAAATGACTCCATTTATTCTGGTGTCAACTCATTCTCTTGGTTCAGATCTTAATGGCCAAGTGCTGCCAAAAATAATCTATTGTTGTGGCTAAAGCCTCGCATTTGACAGGTATTTAGAAATATTGCCTTCTCTACTACTTCACGACATAGCTCCCTGAGGTACTTGGCATGTGTGTAAAACCACCCCACTTGTGGGAAGATCTGACTTAACTTTGATGCCCTCGGTTCCCACATTTCTATCAGCTCCTTTCCCACAGGCCCATGATGCTCCCCGCCACGGTGTATGTGGCAGGCAAGTGTGCAAGTGCAAGAAATACGTTGAGGACAGGACATCAGCACAGCTGTGGAAGAGCCAGACAGAGCACTACTGGGTTCTGGAGCTGCAAGGTGAGGCTCGATTCTAACTCTTGACCACATGCTCCTGAGACTGTCTCTGAGCTTCGACTGTCTCCTTTCAGATAACAAAACTCACTCACTGGATCAGGCGAATAAATAAGTTAACACACAGGAAAATACCTGGCAGCCAGTGGGCACGACTGTAGGGATGACTTTTCAAGAGCTGGAACTCAGAATCCGGGTCTCCTAAGCCTCGTGCCCTTTCCATGACACCAAAGGGCTGCGTGTCACACTGACGCATCTAAGGGTCAACTGCTAGAGTTGAGGCCTCACTATGTCCCACAATCTGGTCTGTTAGGGCAACGGTGCTAACCGCTCTCTTCCCAGTTACCACCAGGAGCCCTTCCACCCACCCAGTCACTCGCTCGGGAGAAACGGGGATGACCAGGGCACAGGGGGTGGATCTGTACATCTAAGACTAGAGCCGTTTTTAAAATAGTGTTCTGGGACGCCTGAGTGGCTCAGTCGGTTAAGCGTCTGCCAGGGTCCTGGGATGGAGCCCTGCGTTGGGCTCCTCGCTCAGCGGGGAGTCTGCTTCTCCCTTTGCCTGCCGCTCTGCCTACTGGTGCTCTCTCTCTCTGTCTCTCTGTCAAATAAATAAAGAAAATCCTTAAAAAAATAAAAAGTGTTCTTTCAGGAGAACAAGAATTGCTGAGTCATTTCCTTTCAAAATTACCTACCCCAAAAAATGCTGAAAAAAAAAAAACCAACCCGAGACAGAGTGTAAGGGATTGGCCCAAGTCTCTCAGTGAAGCAGGAATGGAGCCAGCCAGGGCCCTGTGGACCAGGCTCCCCAGGGGCAGCAGGGAGGGAGGGAAAACCACCTCCCCGGCCTACCTGCAAAACCAGCATTCCAATTTCTATTTGGATCAGTGCCAACGCAAGGGCTTCCAGGATTGTGGGACCGTGTCTTCCTCCACAGTCGGTTCTGAAAAGTCCACCAAGGAAGGAATAAGCATTCAGAGACGGTCAGGGCACAGGAGAAGTGAAGGTGTTCTCTGGGGCTCTATGATGGAGCAAGCTGCCTGCAGCTCTGCCTGGAGGATCATCGGGGCTCCGGTCCTCACGGACTGAGCAGTCTCCTCTCATCTCCCGGAGAAAGGAGGCTCAGCCCTTCGGGCTCAGAAAGAAGGACGCCCCCAAAATGCCCCGATGCCCCTGATGCCACCTGAACCCACCGAATGATTTTTGGCTTTGGCAGAAGGAGGACAGACAGACATCGTATGCCCAAATGATCACTGGTGGGACAGGAAGTGCACAGCAGCTGTTTTATTCTTGCCTAAAAAACTCACCTGAATCCAATCAAACTTCAAGCTCTGACTACTAGTGAATAGGAAGGGAATACGGGGGTACAGGAACGAATGAAACACAACAAAGGAGCCATCAGCCAAATTGAGAGCGTGAGACATTCTACAGGACAATTTATTCTGATTCTCCAACAAATGAATGACATTTTTAAAAGAGGTGTGTGTGGCAGGGGTGGGGGCGGGAAACTGCCGTAGATCTGAAAAGGCTGCAGAACCACAACAACCAAATACGGGTGCAAACCTTATTTGGGTACTGATTTCAACAAACTGACTCAGAAGACATTTAAAAGATAACTGGGGGAATTAGATGATATTAAATAAATTCCATCAATTTTTTTAAAAGTGACAGCAGTGTATTGTTTGGGTTTTTTGTTGTTGTTGTTTTGTTTTAATTATCATCAACCAGAGATGCATACTAAAGAAATTTGGGGTAAAATAACCTGATGTCAGGGATGTGCTTTAAACAAAAGGAAAAAAAAAATGTGTGGGAGGGGAAGAAATGAAAAGAAGATTGGTAAAGTGTTGGTAATTGTTCAAGATCCACGATAGGGAGTTCATTAGACTATTCTAAGAAAAAATATCCTCTGGTGACTCTCGGCTCAGGGAACGAGTGAAAAATGGGAGCCCAAGGAAGCCTGTAACATGCACGCATGTGGGAGTTCTCCCCACGTTCCTACAACTGTTCAGGTGCTACGGTGAGGAATTCAACAGACTCTTCTTAACTTCAAGCCCAGCTCATTCGGTATTACTCACTTGAGTTTGTGTGTACACATATCCGTCAGGATTGGCCACAGGCAACAAGAAAATATCCATTTTCTCCAAAATGGAGGTGATGGCTGGATCCTTGCCGTGATCAGATACAATCTAAGCAGAGAAAGGAAGCTTGTCAGCTACGCCATGGCCAGCTCGGGTGCCCAGTCTAAGCCCGTGTGTCTCCCCCAGATGCCCCCCTGCAGTCCCCTGCCACCCTCATAGACACAGCTCTCGGCAAAGCTCTTAGAGCGCCTCAAAACCTGGGGGAACATGGCATCATGATGCCATCAACTGCGACGAGGCTGGGCCTGCCTGGTTGACTCACTCCTTCCAGGGGGTGGCAACCAGGGAGGGAAGAGCCACACATCATCATAGTTTGGGGAAATCTGGGCCCCCATGCTAACGGGCGGGGAAAATAAATCCTGCACACACAGCACCCCTCCTCTCCCTAGTGCTGCCTTAAAGCAGACTCTCGGAGCGGGTGCAGGGGGGTGACATGGAGGCAGCATGAGGTCCCTGAGGGTCTGGAGGGCTAGGGTGGGTCTGACGGCAAAGTTCATCTGAGTTTTGCTGCTGAGAAGACTCTGCTCCCTTTCTGCGGGGCTGACTATGGGTCAGTGTTTCGGGGCCACCTCTGCAGCTCATTAGCTTGCTTGCTGCCATCAAGGGACTTTGTCATTTAGCCACAGTGGCTTGACCAAAGGGCTCTGACCTTTTGCTTCTCCAATCGGGAAAGGCCCCCCAGCCTACTGTGTCTGTGCAGAGTGCCTTCCCACCTCGTCCCCCCAGACCCAGCCCCCTGGGGCCCTGCGGAGGCACCCTGGGCCCACCAGAATTCTCAGCTAATACCAGGCGACATGACCTTCCTCGCAGTCCAGATCGCCGTGGCCTGCGAGATCCACTCCCGGGAGTGGATGCCTGCGTTCAGCCAAATGGCCGGCCGCCGCCGCCTGCCTTCTGCGGTGCTGAACTGTGGGAGGACAAAGAGGCCAGAAAATGACCCTCCTGCCCATGTATCCACTCACCTCTCCTCTCCCCAGCTCACCCCTATTCATTTAATCCATTTAGGATAATTCAGAGACCAAATGTTCCTGAGGGCACCATCTATTTATCAGGCTTATCTGTGACGAAGGAGCTTAATTGGGTGGCAGGCCCAGCCGCAGCCCCGGGCCACTCGAGCCGCTCTGGGGTTGGAAGCAAATGGGAAGGGGAAACTATTGCTATTGTGAATGAGAATACCAGTGTGATCAGAGATAATATTACGTCTCTTGAAAGACCTCAAAGGGCATCCCAACAGAGAGAGACACAAGAGTGCAGGAACCAGCCTGTTCTAGTTGATGCAATAAATGAATTTGATTTTAAAAGGAGGAAGAGAGGGGCGCCTGGGTGGCTCAGTTGGTTAAGCGACTGCCTTCGGCTCAGGTCATGATCCTGGAGTCCCGGGATCGAGTCCCACATCGGGCTCCCTGCTCAGCAAGGAGTCTGCTTCTCCCTCTGACCCTCCTTTCTCCCATGCTCTCTGTCTCTCATTCTCTCTCTCTCAAATAAATAAAATCTTAAAAGAAAAAAAAAAAAGGAGGAAGAGAGAGGTTCACTATAGCTCTTTGCAAATGGCATTAAATGAATTCTGGCTCCTGCCTTATTTAAGGGTGGGGCTGGGCCACCTTGGGTCAAAGCATGGTGCGAATGAAGCCAGAGTCTCCATCAGGTTGGCAAATAATCTCAATTTATGTGGATTATTTTAGAGCGACCGGCTCAGTGGCAAATCTCCTCTGGCTGGTAATTCAAGCCACGAGCCTGGGTTCTTCAGGGCTTATATGAAGCTAAGGATCTGACAAATTCTTAGCACCTTCAGTTGTTCCGTGGTTCATATCTCCAAATTCCTTTTTATTCATTTGGCTGGATTATTTATGTAATTTATGTCCCTGCCATAAATTCTCTACCTCTTTTGCCAATATAGACCTGAATCTGTTAGAAATATCTAGAAATTAGGCTTTGTGCAGCCAGGATCATAGGCTGGGCTTAAAATTACATCAACCCTAAAATTAGCTTCCTAGATTGCTTTTCCAATAAGTACCCCTAAAAGCAGAATAGAATTTGTAGAACTATCCCAATTTGACTTGCTTTTTAGAGGTAAGAATGAAGGCAAAAGATTGTGGCCCATCTGAGCGCTTTCTGGAAGGCTAACCAACCCACCCTACCCCCATCCCCACTACCCCTCACCCATCCACCACCACTACCCCACCCGGTTGATCCTGCCTTTCAGTCAAAACTTGCAATGGGATGGACTCCTTCTAAGTTCTAACTCCTTCCATGTTAGGCAAAAACAGGGGACTCTCAGTCACACCAAATCTGAACCTCAGTAGATGTCTCCCCACGTCCCTGAAGTCAAGGAGAGCCTAAAAACCTGCCTTCTTCAGAAGTCTGAGGGCTGGGTCCTGGACACAAGGGACCAGGAGCCTGAGTCCAGTCAGGCCTCTTGAAGAGCCTGGGGACTCACCTTTAGTACATACATGGGCCGGTTTTCAAACGAATGCCCAATCTTCACCCTGCTCGCCAACTCAGGAAAATCTCCGGCAATGCTGTCCATCTCACGGTAAATCTGAAGCATGAAAAGGTGAACTCAGGGGCATTTGAGAATTTTGTTCAGCTCTGGGTAGGTATCTGTGAACTTCATCTTACTGATCCCGATGACTTCTTCATTGATTTGATCAATGATTAGATCCAGCCCTGTGATCTCAGGGTTGACAGTATTATCGCCATGGAACACTTATTCTTGAAGAACTGCCTAAAGAGTCCTTTTCTACAACATTCTAGAGAATAACACATTTTATCTGTCCATAAAATTATAGGCCACTAAATGAGAGAGACTTGTGCACAGTGCGGTCCTTCGCGCCGCACCAGACTGGATAATCAGCCATCGCCCCATTTAGCCAAGGTTCTTGAAAATGGTCCTCTCTAAACCTTTTCATCACTTCCTCCACCAGTGTTTTTTTAATTAGCATACACCCGATATATATATATTTGTTTTATAATATACATATGCTATGTCTATTACATATATACAATACATTATGTATACCACTGGAATAATGTACCAAATATGTTATGTACATTATAAAAGAAGAAAAAAGAAGCAAAATGGTGGCATTAATAATAAATATAAATGTATGTGGGACGTAAATAGAAGTTGCAATAGTTTCTTCCTCCATCCCAGTGAAGCATCTTGCTCACACCCTGTAGTATAAGCACACCACTTTGGAGATTCCTCTAACGGCCTGAAGAGAAGGAGTGAAGAGCTGTAAATCATGGCTACAAATGCTTCCATTTGGTTTCAATTTCTAAAAAAGCTTGATTTAGATAGAGTTCATCCATCTTAGTTGCTCAAAACTTCTGAGGGCAAAAGAAGGAAATAAAGAAATTTCTATTTAGATCTTAAAAGTGGAAGAGGGAGCTTTACAGAGGAGAAAAATACGCAATCAATACTGAATAAAACTCCAGCTTCAGTGGTTTATCAGAGTGGCAGTCAATATGGCAGACCGAGCAGAAGCGGGAAACCACCCCCCCAAATATATACTCAAGCCAGATAAACTACAATAAAAATAATTCACAGCCAAGCTTAAAAATCAAGAAAGGAGACATTGTAGGGGTCAGAAGTGAGAAGCTGAGTTGAGGGCAGAAAATGGAGCCTCGGGACCAGATATCTGCCTTAGGCATTGAGGGTTTACAGCAAGTCAGGAATAGTGATCAAGGGCACAGGACCCAGGGTGGGCCAAGGAGCTGGAACCTGAGAGCTGAGAACCATCCATTCCAGCCATGAAAAGGGCTTGGAAGCTCTACCTACTCACCCTAGAAAGTGAAGCAAAAGCTGGATGCCCACCCTGAGCCATGAGGGGCAAGAGAGCCCCCCATGAGAAGTTAAAATACCAAGCTGTATCGGGAGGTAGGGGTCCAAATTCACACTGCCAACATGAGGGGGACGCTCAGCCGGGAAACTAACAGAAACAATGACAACCACAACAACACACAGAAAATCTGAAATTGGAAACCCTGGCTGAGACAGACATAAGACCCCCACCAGAGACCCAACCAGGCCTACGCGGTTACAGGATGAGAGCTCTTCAAAGCTGTTTTTAGAAAGAACTGCATGTGATCAAGCCAAGAGGGAGACAGTACACCGAGGCACAGCAGAAGGCCTCAAGGGGGCGGGGGGGCATGGGGGAAGCTGCAATCAGATGGCAGCGAGCCCTAAAGCCAGAGAGCAAATGCAAGTGCATGAGAAAGCGTGGTGCCCATAGCAGGCAGGTGAGGGGATGGAGTTCCTGGGGTCTTGGCTGACATTTGCAACCACTTAGCTCAGCTAGGGAGTGCGCCACCTTAACGAGGCTCACGTCATGGGTCTGAGCCCTGTGTGCGCCCTGAGCTCTGCTCTTGTCCATGGCCCTGGACTGAACTCCTAACTTTATCCAGCTGTTTTGCAGATGTATGTCATTGGTCACAAAAGGGATCAAGGGGCAGTGCAGTTGGAAGTATACACAATAAACAAAGCTACTGACAATCATGGGAAAGAAGTGAAAACAGTTGGTCAACCCTGGAAATAATCCCTCACCTAGAAGAGAAACAACTCAAAGTATATGCCTCACAAAAAGCATGCCAGGAACCCCATCTTTAGATATAAAGAACAACGTGTATGCAGGTATGGGAAGGAGAAAAACAATTTCATTTTGAGGTGTTGTTCTGAGCTAGTAGAGAATGTCCAGACTAATGTAGAAGACATTAGGGGTCGTAAGGAAACTGTAGGATACGTGATGCAGTCCCATTCTATAGCCCCTCTTGATTCCTCAAGTTCTAATATCATATTAAGTGGTTCTGCTCCAAATTTTTTATTGGAAGGGTTGGCTTACCTTGGAAGTCAGTCATCTATATAAAGTGGTTTTTAACTAAACACAGCACCAAAACACATTATAGAACAAATATGCATTATAAGTAATCATGATAAATGCGTGGAAATATTTGGTTAACCTTGGAAATAACCACTTGTCTACTTGCCTGGAATAAGTAACATTTTAATCTGGGTGAGTAAAATACAGGGATTATGGTGGGGTATAAGAAGGTTGAATTACAAGGATGGAAATGATTGTAATTATTTCATGGTTTTCTTTCAGGGGTTGCCTTAGAAAAGAAGGATGCATGTGGGAGAAAATGTTCAGTTGTGTTTCACTATGCTCTTAGGTGCTGGTGGGAGATAAACAACCCAAGAATTACAAAACAAACTGAAGTGTTCACATTTTAGCCCCTTAGGGAAGGGGTACTGTGCTAAGGACTAATGCCTCCTGGAAGTAAGGAAAGGGGTTACAAAACCCAGGATGTCAATGACCTTGATCTTAACCTGCTCCGAGACACTTACAGCTTCCAGGGAATGGTAGGCCCCATAGTTGAAGCTATTATTGCTCCGCTCTTGTCCTTCATTGTGTTGCATTTCTTCATCTTCATTATCTAAAAGGGCCTAAAACAGACACGGCAACGCTGTGATGTGACCCACTGGAGATGGAGGTTCATGTCGTTTCTGCCATATTTTGGCACGAGCTGGCCAAGATGGCGGCACCCTTGGCACACAAACGTCAAGGTGTGAAAGGTGGTCCGATTTCTTCCACATATCTATAAAAGCTTATTTCTTGGCACCCAACATACATCACCCCATTCAAAACCCACTTACTCCCCAAAAGCAACATATGTGCTATTTGGTTATTCTACACTATGAATTCTCTAGACATCAGCCCGCATCTGGTATCCAGTGTCTCTGAAATACACAGCTTGGGAAACCATTCAGAAACAAAGAAATTCTTATAACCACTCATACTTTGAAGGCTCCTGGCAGATGTCCGTGACATGTGAGGATGATTAATAAGCTCACAGCTGCTCATGCCATCAGGAAACTCCCGGGCCAAATCACCAATTAGTCCATAACCCACCTCGGTGAGGGAGAGAACATGAGCCAGACACTGTCCTGCTGTTCGGATACAGGTCGTGAGGCTTGCGTCTGGCTTGGGTGGTGATGTTCCCTCTGCTGAGAACTACTGGTGACATTCCCTCTTTCTCAAAAGATGCCTTTTATGACTGGTCTCCAACACCCCCAGGCTCCCCCCCGCCCACATACACACACTTTTCTTCCCTCTTGACTTCAAATACAACAAGGGAGAGAAGCTTCATACTTGTGGGTCATCTATGACAGACCAAGTACCACTGGGCATTTCACATACACTTAATACATTTAATCTTCTCGATAAATTGTATGAAGTAGGCATTGCTGTTACCATTTTACTGATGAAGAAACAGAGGCTCAAGACGTTAATAGCTTGTCCAAAGTCACACAGCTGATAGTTAGCAAAATCAGGATTTGGATACAGATCTGTCCAGTTCCCTAACCTATGCATGCCCTTTCTACTACAACATGTTCCCACTAACAAGTCACTGCATTTTACTTCCATGGACCTCAATGAGTTCATCTATAAAATGGAGAAGGATAAGACCATGACTTGCACATGTCTTAGGTCCACTCTGGGTGCTTTGTCCTATGCAAGACCAGTTAGGGACCTCGGCCTACCCACCTGCAGGTCTTCAATTGTCACTGAGTACTCTAAACCCCGGGACTTCAAGAAGGATTTCACTAGCTGCAGACTGACAGATGGGACCAGGACATCCATGGGATGACCGAAGGTGGAGGGAGATTTCCAGACGTTGAGCTGAAGAGAATGGAAATAAAACCAGATTAAAGGACAGTTCAGGTAAAAGGCACAATGAGCTCATTCTTCTAGAACAACTGCCAAAGGCAAGGGTGATCCCTGAGGAGCTGGGTTCTGCCCAAGGGTAAACTTTGCCCATTTCATAGCTGTGTCTGGTCAGGCCTACCCAGAAGGCAATACCTGGCAAAATCCAAGAAGTAGTAAGTCAATGGCAGATAGAAAGATGGAGCCCACCATTGAGGCCGCCCAGCTCCCAGGACAGCAGTGCTGTGATCTACAGCGCTTCTCCCCATCAACCCTCGCAATCGTGTGAGGGCCCGTTGACTAATACAGGACTATACTAACAAAAACTCTCCAGGAGTAACAACGTCAGTGGTGCAAGAGTCTCCTCTCACCAAAGTCAGAGATACCCAAGAGGACTGAGAACTAGGTACCTTAAGGTTGTCTGAATTCACTAGCTGACTTAGTTTGCTGATCTCGTCTCCATTTCTGACGTTAATCCTAAAAACTTGGTCCCTGGAGGGGAAAAAAAAAAAAAAGCAAAAGATAATGGTGAGCTTTCAGCTGGCAAATAAACCCCAAGCCTATGTCCCAGACATAACTGGGACGAATGAGAGGAAATGGTCTAGTCTTTGGTTATAATGTATAGCCATTAAAAATAAGACTACGTGGCAAATATGAAAAAGTGCTTATAGTATAACTTGAAGGGAAATATTAAGTGAAAGAGCAGGACACAAAATTGTATGTATGCCATGATTACAAGTATGGAAAAAGCAGATGCATTGGAAGAAAAACAGACAACGGAAATATAGCAAATGCTGACAGTGCTTATGTCCGGGTCGTGGGATTATGGATGACTGACTTTTTTTACCCTTGTATCTGTTTTCTGTAATGTGGTCATATTACTTTATAATGAAAAACATATATATTTTGCAGAAAGGAATGTTCCTGAGTTACACGCAAAGCTAACTCAAGACATAAAGAAGTACTTCTTCACTGTCAGGGGCGAGGACTGAAACTCTGGCTGAAGGTCCATGCTGGAAAGAGCTGGAAAAGAGAAAAGACCTTCCATCCTCGGAGGGTTAGCTATTTGCTGGGTGGTCTCTCAATCCTGTCCAGCTCCAGAACTCCATACAAATGCGAAGTACAATACGGGCTAGGGTGCTGGGGCTGACTTGGGATTCAGTCCTCCCAAGGGGGCCCTGAGAAGGTCCCAGAAGGGAGCCGGCCAGTCCCGAGCCCCCCTTTGTTGTTTGTCCTGAACTTGCTCCATCTACACCATTTAGCTTCCGCAGCAGCGGCAGGGGCCGAGGCCCCTGAAGTCCTGTGTGTGGGTGGGAGAAGGCCGAGCCTGAAAAGCTGCCTTTGTGCTCTCAGCGGGCTCAGGGAGCCAGGGGAGCCATTAGGCCGTTGCTAGGTGACGGCCCGAATGAATCCGCACTCGACGCTGTCACATGCGTCATCCCTTTACACGAATGAATGCGGGAAGAGCTGCTGGAGAGGGCTGTGGGCTGAAGGACCTGTTGACAGGGAAAATGGTTCTGTCACAGGGAGCTGAATGTGCAGCCTCACGTGGCAGATCCGCATCTTCTCATCAGAAAACCGGCTCAATCCAGATGGGACTCTCAGGGTTTCACTTTGTTCCAGGAGGTTCTGGAGAATCTCCAGGGGGTCTAGTCCAGCCCCAAAGAGGCAAGGGCCACCGCAGAGTTGCTGCCACTGCGGGTGGCAGGTCTGGAGGAAATGCCAGAGCCAAAGGGCTCACTTTCTCCCAGCTCAACCAGTCTCCACAGGGTCCTTGGAGGTGGGCCGCCAAGCACAACCCCTGGCAGCTGCTGAGGCCTGGCAGGTCTCAGTCTGAACCCAACAGGCTGGCTAGGAGTTGAACCACAGCCCTGGGAAGATGGGGAGTCAAACCACCATTTCCTCGACACAGGCAAGCAGCCTCCCAAAAAAGGAACAGGTTTAAAACAGAAGGGAAATCCTTACTTCTGGCTAAGTACCAGGGCCCATCTGCCGAAGTTACGCTCTGTCACAACCCACCCCCAACACTCCAGAAAAAGAGGAGTCTTTAAAATGAGTGTTCTAGAAAGCTCCTGTGCACTGACATCTCTATCGGCAAAATGAGGCATCTGTAAAATACAGCACTGACTAGAACAACGAGAAGGAAGGAGGGGAGGGAGAAGGAACAGGAAGAAAAGAGGAATCTAAGAATAAGGGGCTCTCAAGAGTATGAAGATAATGTTACACAGGCACCCAGAGCATGCAGTTTATTTTTCCTGGAGTGGTGACTTCACAGCAGAACTTCCATACTCCTGGGCACAGTCCATGACAGTGGATCTATCTGGCCCTGAGCATGAGCAAATCCACAGCACATTTCATCAGGCCCTATCAGCCAAGCTACAGAGGACAAAGACACAACTGGAGTACAGAGAGGCAGAGTGGAAGGGCTGGTGCAGAGTGGAGCCCTTCCCCATCTGTTTCTCCTCCACCTCTCCCTCCTCCACCCTCTCAGTTCCAACCTTATTGAAATCCCAAATTCACCATGTCTTTTGCCCTTCCATGCCTGTGCACATGCTGTTCCCTCTGCCCGGATGGCCCAGCCCTTTTCCTTATCTGCCTGGCAACCTCATGCCCAGGCTTTAGAACCAACTGTCATCACCCATGGGGTTCTCCCTAACCCGGAGGCAACATTAGGGACAGCCTTCAGAGGGCACTAAAAGGGGGGCGGGGGGTGGTTGGCAGATCTAACACCATTCTCATGAGCATAAGTCCATCAAAACACAGAAGCAGAGAGAACGTTAAGTAGGTGTTGGTGAAGGGCAGCCATTTTCTTGCCCTAATCATCCTTGTCTCTATTTGAAAAATGCTCTTTCCCAGTCCTGAGAGTGCAGAGAGCTGAACACAACCTATCTCTGCCGTCTGGAAATCCATGCAAAGATCTCAAACTCTCTGCAAATGAAGGTCGGTCTAGTAGAGGGCATATATTGGGATTTGCAAGTTGCCATGTCTACCCCTGCTAGTCCACCCAGGTGTTCTTGGTGCTCCTGGCGCCCTCCTCTCATTCACCCTCACACTCATCCCACATTCTTTTTTTTTTTTTTTAAAGATTTTATTTACTTTGGGCGCCTGGGTGGCTCAGTTGGTTAAGCGACTGCCTTCGGCTCAGGTCATAATCCTGGAGTCCCGGGATCAAGTCCCACATCGGGCTCCCTGCTCGGCAGGAGGTCTGCTTCTCCCTCTGCCCTCTTCCCTCTCGTGCTCTCTGTCTCTCATTCTCTCTCTCTCAAATAAATAAATAAAATCTTAAAAAAAAAAAGATTTTATTTACTTTTTTGACAGAGAGAGACACAGCAAGAGAGGGAACACAAGCAGGGGGAATGGGAGAGAGAGAGCAGGGAGCTGAGCAGGGAGCCCGATGCGGGGCTCGATCCCAGAACCCTGGGATCATGACCTGAGCCGAAGGCAGATGCTTAACGACCGAGCCACCCAGGCGTCCCTCATCCCACGTTCTGACAGTCAATAGCCCCCCTGGTGCTGAGCTTCTATCCCTCCCTCGTTTCCATGCAGGCAAGCCAAGGGGCCTGTTCTTTGTGCCTCTCTTGCCCATATCCCCGGCCAGGCTTAGCAGCCACCACAAGAGTTGGTTTCACGGAACTCTTAAATGCCTGCCAACTACTGCTGATGCTCCAACCGGTTCTGCAACTACATTCCTGTTCTCTGCCTGCCCTGTACCTCTAGGCATCCTGGCCACCGGCCCATCCTTAAGATGACCAAAGGGCAGGACAGAAGACACCAGCAGAGCGAGACACTGGACACTTGGTGGGGGGGAGGGCAGTAGGGCATTAGGTGGAAGGAACAAAAGCTGGGGGGTGAGAGTGGGGGAGAAAACCCATCATCTCCATCTCCATTGGTACTGTCCCCCCTCCTAGCCAACCTGTGCTCTGGCTTCCCACCACTTGAAAGCTCAGAGAGGCCAGCTTCCCCTTGCTAGAAACGTTCACTGAGCTGGGTGTGTGGGACATGTCTATGAGCCCCTGGAAGGATCCCACCACCTTTGCTGGGTTCCCTACTATAGGGGGAGAACAGATTTTGGGGTGAGGATGACACCATCGGTTAAAACCACCTGCAAGTAGCTCAGACACGCAGCCCTTTCTGTGTAAGCTCCCATGGTGGGCACTCCAGCGCCAGGCCCAGCTGTCTCAACTCAGGTGTCCGCTACATTGTAAGCGAAATCTGCATCCTGAGAAATAAAGATTTTTCCAGCCATGTGAATAGCTGCAGTGAGAGCCTGACAGCTCCATGCATCAGCCCACACGGCAGCAAGCGTAGTTATTACACACCTACTGCTGAGCTGCCTGTGGAAAAATCTCCTTCTCTGGCCACCTGCTATGCCTAACCCCTCTGAGCTATTTGACAGCAGACACCAGGTGTGAAAAGAAGTCATCACCATAAAAATTACTCAATCTCATATAAGTAATTACCTCAATAAACAGCCCCCAAGTCCCTTTAGCCAGCTAGCAAATTAGAGAGTAAGCTAACAGATACAGATATATCTGTGAGATAGAGGATTCTATCTGGAGATTAACTTGTGTTACAGCAAAAGGGTATGGGTTTTGCCTTCGGAGTTCCAGCTCCCCTGCTTACCAGCTGAGTGGCATTGGGCAGGTTCCCTAACCTTTCTAAGGCTGAGTTTTTTCATGTTCAAATTGAGGAAAATAACACCCCTGCCCGGCAGAGTTGTTGCGTGATCCAAAAGATAATGCACATGAAAGCTCTTTGCAAATGGCAAAGCATTAGGCAGTAATGAGTTATTAGAATTCCATCTTCTAGCAGGGGACCATGGCATCCTTTCATCTCTCCCACCTCCCAAATGGCCTCTCCTCCGCAAACCGCAAAGCATTCTGCATGGAGCGTGTTGAGCATGTGCGTGCACACACACGCACGCACACGCAGTGCACAGGTGTGCCCTTACATGCCAAGTCTCACCACTGGGGCTAGGCAAGAGCTAGTGAATCTCCATGTCCCAGGCACTGATGAGAAAGCCCCGGCTCTACAAAGCCTTCCTTGCTAACAGAGAGGTGAAACCAAAGAGCCTAAGACCCCGGTTTTCCCCTAAGCATGGCAGAAATTAGAAACAATTTCTGGGAGTTCTTGGTACTTCATAATAGAGAAGTAAGAAAGTAGAAGAGGACTGAACCTGACTTTAGAAATAAGAACTGGGAAGGAAAAGAACTGGCAGGAGATTAGGGAGCCAGGGAGGGACTGTAGAGGCCACCTCGTCTTGATTGCACAGATAGGATTAAGCCTAAGAGAGAAGGAGCTTGCCCAGGATGACACAGGGCAGAATTGGGATACGAGCTCGTGTCTTCTTTCCCAATGCCAACTCCACTTGAGATATAATCAGCCATTCATTTTCAAATCCATTTGGTTCCCATATCACTGAACCAACCAAGTAATAATAATAAGTCCAAAAGGAACTTACCCAGGGCGCCTGGGTGGCTCAGTTGGTTAAGCGACTGCCTTCGGCTCAGGTCATGATTCTGGAATCCCAGGATCGAGTCCCACATCAGGCTCCCTGCTCAACAGGGAGTCTGCTTCTCCCTCTGATCCTCCCCCCTCTCATGCTCTCTCTCTGTCTCATTCTCTCTCTCAAATAAATAAATAAAATCTTTAAAAAAGAAAAAAAGGAACTTACCCAAAAAACTTTTCTCGGCCACAGATGCTGAGCCCAATAAGGGCCCCAAAGAACAGTATCCACTTCATGTCCCAAGGGTGTCAGTCATGGAGTGGCTGAGTCAAGTTGTATTTATAAGAAGTGTGAGGCAGACTCATGTCCTCAAAAATGCTAATGTGATTCCCAAGCACCCTTGCAACTGTGATGTATATCAAGCGGGCTCCTACCGATGAATCTTACATTCCTTTTGGGTGATAAAGGCCTCTTGATTTACAAGATCAGGAACTTGCTCCTCAGACTGGAAGTCTGTGCCGAAGGTGCCATATTGCTCATTGCTTGGTATTTAAATAGTGTTTTTTCAGTAAATAGGGAAGTCCCACAGTGCTGGAAAGAATTTACTGAGAGGCCGGGGCGCCTGGGTGGCTCAGTTGGTTAGGCGACTGCCTTCGGCTCAGGTCATGATCCTGGAGTCCCGGGATCGAGTCCCACATCGGGCTCCCTGCTCGGCGTGGAGTCTGCTTCTCCCTCTGACCCTCCTCCCTCTCATGCTCTCTGTCTCTCATTCTCTCTCTCAAATAAATAAATAAAAATAAAATCTTAAAAAAAAAAAAAAAAGAATTTACTGAGAGGCCAAATTGTAAACCTGAAATGGAGTTACCTCTAGAGTTAAAAAAAAAAAAAGTGAAGACTATCAAAGAAACCCCAAGCCAACTCCAAGACCACACACTTGATAAGCCCTGTCGGAGAATTTCACCAGAGCAGGTCATGATGATGAGAGTTTGTGACCTCTGATATGAATCTGACACCTAACTCTTATGACTCCACTAAAAAAGTAGAAATACATGAGGTCAATGGGAAAGGAAGAAGTGTTAGTCTGGATGAAATATCAGTTTTCCTTGGGGTCTGAGTAAAGGTAAAGCTTAATGGTATTATTAATAATGAGACTTTTTTACATTTGCTAGACTCTGAGTCTGGTGTCCTTTCCACCAAATCACATCAGAATAAATGAAAGGCACTCAAGATCTCCATGACTCCTTAGGGACTCTGAGGCCTTCAAGTCTGTCCTGGGAGCTCCAAATCCTCAAATTCAGAGCCCCAAACCCAAAGCCTCCCCCATCCCACTGTCCCCATAGTCTACATCATTCTTTCTGCTCTTGCTCAAGGGGGGGTGGATACAACCAATGGTCATTTTTGGGGGTGTTAAAGAAAAATTATTCTGAGACTTGTTAAAACTGTAAGGAAGACTTTATTCAAGATTATTACAATAGGGCTCACACAACAGAAGAGAGTAATGGTGTTCAACTCCAAGTACAGTAAAGAGAGCAGAGTGAAGGGGGTCAGTAGATGGAATACTGCTAAGAGGAAACATCAAGGGTAGGGGTCTTCTTGTTTAACTGGACTCACAGGTTCTTGCCAAAGGCAGACCAAGGACTTAGTCATCAAAGTTGGAGGATGAGGAATTGAATCAGATATCAAGGACTAGGGGATGATTTAGCAGGATTCTTTGCTAAGACTGACTTAGACAGGGCCCAAGGACAAGGCCTAGTCAAAAAGAGGGCCCAGAGAAGCTGAAGTAAGTTTGGGTCAAGGAGAGTCTTTGTCAGGAATTATGGAACTGGGGGCTTTATCAGGACTCTTTCATCCTTCGAGCACTGAAACGGAACTCCTACACACACCCTGGTCCATAACAATGGTTGGGCTCCGAGACAGATTTCAGCTTTGAAATTAGTAACAGAGAAGCTGGGAGCTGAATCTGCAAGAAATGTGAACTAAAGAATCAAGGACCCAGAATTCACTTCCCACCTTCTTCTCCCAGAGAAAACCATCAAAAGGAAGAAAATCTCAATCCCTAATGGAAGTGAATGTCTAAAAAAAATTATATAGAATCTGAGACCCAGGTTTGATGAGTATCATTGGTTTGGGTTCCCACTTGTTTTTATAATGCAGCATACTAGAAATGGGAAAAAGCCAAAGGCAACAATGGGACCAGAAGATATGTAAGTACCTAGGATAATGTGTGACACCATGTAGTTGTTTAATTAGTATTTATTGAACAAAGAAACTCGAAAGTCCCTTGCTAGCTCCAAAATGCTGCTCTATTAAGGTGAAGGGGCTGACACATGCCACAACATGGATGAACCTTGAGGACATTAGGCTAAGTAAAACAAGCCAGTCACAAAAGGACAAATACTATATGATTCCATTTATATGAGGTACCTGGAATAGGCAAATTCATAGAGACTGAAAGTAGAATAGAGGTTTCTGGGGGCAGGGCGGGCGGGAGAATGGGGAGTTAACGCTGAACGGGTACAGAGTTTCAGTCTGGGATAATGAAAAATTTCCAGAGATGAATGATGGTAATGATTGCACAACCTTGTGAATGTACTTAATGCCACTGAATTGCACACTTAAAAATGGTGAAAATGGTCAATCTTATGATATGTATATTTTACACAATTTTTAAAAAATTTTTAAACAATGTTGGGAGTCTTTTTGCTCAGGATGGGTTTTGTTTGTTTGTTTTTAAAGATGAAGGGGTACAGCTCAGTAGCTTGTTATGTTTTAGGGCAACACAAATCAAAGAAATAGTGCTCCAAGATCAGGATTAGAAAAAGGAATCATCACAACCCAACTTTGGTTCAAATCAAAGAGCTTTTAATGGTGTCTATTCCCCAAAGCCCTAATAGGGATGGTCTCGCACATGCTCTATGATTGTCTTCAAGCCAAGCCAGGTCTCTTCAGCTGTGGGCAAGATCTGACTGGCCGGAAGGAGGAAGCCATATCGACCGGTGTCCCTCAGTTCAAAGGCAAATGAGTATTTGATGCCATTGTCATATGACCAGTCAATGCTTCCTCCACTGGCTTGGTCTGAAGGGCAAATGAGAAAAAAGTCTGGTTATGCTACTCCCTCTGGCCTCTCCAGATATATAACCTCTATGTTAGGTTTCACCAATACCAAAGATAAGTCAGGCCCCTCTGCATGGTCCTTGAGAGCAGGGATAGCTTCATAGGGGGTCATGCTTATGAAAAAATACAAGATTAATTTGAAAAGCAAAAGGTGTTATTCAAAAGGACGCTATACTTAGCCTTCCTTTGGTGTTTTTAGGAGCCTCTGGCTTCACCCACCCATTGGAATCCTACCTGCTCTCCTAATTGGCATCTTCTCCACCTTAAGGAGGCCACACCACTTCCTTCTTTAGAGGAGTGCTAGAAGTAGATATTATTTTCTCTTGTGGGAGAAGAGGGATTACAAATAGAGTAAGAGATTTGGGCTCTGCCCTCTGGGAACTTTCAGTATAAGGGTGGAGTAGGTTTTATTCTGATATCAAATAATATGCCCAGGACTTACACACGATGGGTTATACCAATAAAGTAATGTGCACCTGTGTAACGTGTGGCCGCTGACCTGACAGATGATGAAGGAAGGTGGCATTAACCTACAAAGACTTATGACAATCATGATTCAGGAGAGCTGAGCAATGGACGGGCTCTGAGGCCCCTCCCAGGGAAGTTGGGTAGAGGTCAAATGGAAAGGTTGGGGGCAGAGATGGAGGAAATTACCTAGTCCCTAAGAATGGGACTGGATGGAGGGGAAGACCAGGGTGTTGTACCATGAAGAAGTAGGATTAGTGGTTAATATTATAAATTAACACTATAAATGCCTGTGACTTGTGTCTTTGCCTTCACCCGAATGGTTGCTGACTTGAACTGAATCTACCTTCCAAAATTACTAACTTACGCTACCTGACTACAGCCTATCCCACTAAGAGGTCCATGGTGGACAGAACACTGGCTTCAGATTGAATCCTGATTCTGCAAATCATTAGCTGGGTCACCTAAGGCACTTACCTCTCTGGATCCCAAAGGTTTCATCTGTCAAACAGGAATAATACTATAGTACTTATTTCACAGGGAGAATTAAATGGGAGAACATTATGTGTATGATTCCAACACTTGTTGAGCACTTACTAAATATGTTAGGTACTATGCTAAATCGGTTGATTTAATCCTCACATCGGTCCCAAGACAGATGCTAGTATTATTCCCATTTTACAGATAAGGAAACTGAGGCTCCAAGAAATTAAGGGAATGAGCTGGGATAAAGTATGTAGGATAAGCATTCAATAAATTTCAGTTGTGATTATAACCACCATTATCAATAAACGACTAGGCTCCTATCAAAAAAAGCCAGACCACGTGAAAGATAAGAGGTACCTGGAGGGGAGTAATTCACCAGGAAACTAACAAGCAACATTTATATAGTGCCTTACAGTTTGCAAACACTTTTATTCTACATCCTGTCTTTTGAGCCTCTCAACAACCCATTTCACAGATTAAAAAAAAACCAAGGGAGGATGAGTGACCCACCAAGATTACTCGGTTCCAAAGTGGGAGAATTATAACTCAAACCCAGGCCTCTATCCCCAAGGTCTGGGATTTTCACCCTCTACCTCTCTGAGAAAGAATTCAAGTGACAACTTCGCCTATTGTAGTGCAGCTCCTCAGAGCCTTTTCCAGGTGAGAAACTACCCAGGAAATGTCTCGCCTACCACAGGAGTCCAGCCACCTCTTGGGTGGAGTGAAGCAGGTGTTCAGCCCAGAGCTACATACCAATCTAGGACAGGAGGCAAAAAGTACTTAATTGGGACCTGTTCTTAGAGGCAGTGCTTGCCCATGCTGGCATGAGGCCAGAATCAAGGATAACAGAGTCAGCTCTGGGCAAAATGCAGCCCAAACTTACTTGACCATTAATGGTCAGGTTCCAAAAGATCAGACAGCAAACCCTACACATGTCTGATACTTGCTTATTAGAAATATCTGTAAACTTACCAAGAGAAATACACTAAACCTGAGCCTTCCAAGGTGTACCTTTCACTTTCAGATAAGAAAGTAAAAAACTAGATTCCTTGTAATATGATGGTTGAGACCCCATGTGGAGAGCACAGGATGCCATTCTGCTGACATTCTCAACTCCAGCCTCCACTCAGAGGCCGCCCAACACAGAAAGCATGCAACCCGCGGCCTTAAGTGGCCATCCTGGCCTTCCTCCCCAGCGCCAACAATCCCAGGGCCCTCCTCCCTGGGGGTTCCTCTGCCAAAGGGGAGGACAATCCCCCATGGAACGTGGTTTAAAAGGTCGGGGCAACTGTAAGCAGATCAGTCTTCCAGAGAAGAGCCT